TATTGGTACTGAATTGGCTGTTCTCTTTTCACAAAGTGTTACTTCCTGACTTGTTAGGGGCAATTTCTTAACTTTTGTCATAAAATTCAGATGACGTTTCTTTCAAAAGCATGAGTTCTCCTCTGGTGTCCCTGACTAAAGGGCTTTTGGAATTATGATTTTTGGGGACTTTGTCGTCCCTTTTATCAAGATCGATCTCCTGAAAACTAGCAAATTAGCATAGGTGTACACCCAGAAGATGAGAATATTATTAGCTTTTATGCCATCTTGCATGTACTGAAGACAAATGACCTCACTGCTTTTTATTCTATTTTTACTTATGTGACTGGAAAAACTTTTGCTTTTTGTTTTATTTCTTTTCTGATCTGTCCTTTTTCTGTCCCTTCTAGGCTCCTGTTCATTCCAAGGGCCTTTTGTGGCATAAATAGTCCTGCAAGGTTTTTAGCCTTTTTAATACAATTCTTTTCTTGTTTTGAATGCGATTTAAAAATTACTTTTCCAAATATTTTGTGAAAACATAACCACCTTCCCTGTCTTTTAAAATGTGTTGGCTTTAATGAGGTGAGTATAATTTTCTTTTACATGAAAAAGTCAATCTTTCATCCTCATATGTTGTGATTGATTGGATGTAAAATTGATGTGTGGACCGTAAGCATGTCGGAATTAAACAAGTAAGGAATAAATAATAGGGATGAACTGACTGCGTTTTGTTAAATATTTAAACTATTCAGATATCCGTTCATTATCCCAGTGGCCATTTTCGTCTTGGTCGACTTACCTGTCTGGATATTTTAGTAATTTACTCTTAGATTACTTCCCAAATGTTTGGAAACTAATGTGATCATAATTTGGGTAAGCAAGAATTAAGATGTAGTTAAACAGCACTACAGGTGGGATTCAGCTTCATGCTTGGTCGACTAAATTTGAATGTCTGCAAGTAACTTTCTTGGATTATATGCTGTGTTTTGAACTACCCATTTTAATGAGTAGAGGTCTAAAGCTCAGTTAAGGTGCCCAGAAGTCGGTGTCTGATGCTGTTTGGCATTCCCTAGGGTTTTGTGGCTGACGGCCGGTTGTCATTTGAGAGTGACGTTGGTCTCCGGTTCATCCTGTGTCATGTTTGCGTGAACGTCTTGCACATCCTAGGAAAATGTCTGAAGGACAGTTGAAATCATCGTGCGGTCAGCACGTACTGGGTGATCAGCTGAATTGCTCCTTAGTCTCGCTTGACTGAGTCACCCGTGTAGATACCTACGCTTCAAGTGCCTTAAAGTTAAGTGGACTCCTTCCCTGCCTCCATTGTGCTTTAGTGGCTCTTAACAGCTGTGCCTGTAGATAAACAGGAGAGAAAAGATATTCAGCCGGTTGTTCAAATCTTACAGGTGGCTGGCTATATTGTAGGCTGTTGTTCATCAGCAACATGCATGTGATAGTACTATTTCTTTGCAAGTGCTTTTGCTGTGGTCCATAGCCTTAGTGAACTTCTCCACAGTAGTAGACAGTGCTGCATCGCTCGCTTGCATTGCTGTCATGTGTTCTCCATTCTACTGGCAGATTCTCCTAGAAGCTAGGCGAAACTGGAATTAATTGTTAATTTGTAATGCATGAATTTAGGATTGTCATTCCTGATGATCTTCGTTTTCGGAGGTGATGTAGTTCTAGATATCAACCCAAATTTTCTGGTTAGCTATAGCTGATGAGATTTTATGCCGTCAGAGACGGATTACTTTGACGGTAAATTTCAAATGAATTTTGTCAACAGTGCTAAATTGCACTTGTTCAGTGACAGTCTACCAGGTAGTCAAGCTAAGCTAATCCAGTACAACGTTCTGCGATTTTTTTAAGCACACTAGTGGAAGCATTTGCAGATTATTTTAAACTGTGCTGAAGTCCTGACGGGATAGATTACAGCTTAGTTTTTTTTTTTTTTAGAATATGTAATAAAAAAAAAAAACGTGCAGATATAAAACACTAAAATAAATATTTAAAAATGTGAAGCACTTGCATTTTTTTAGTTGGTCAGATTTAAGATACATTTAAGAAATGCTTGTTTTTTTTTTACGTTTTCTGGTAATTTAGAATATATCCTGCAATGCTGATTCAAAGTGAATTTGTAGACAGTGTACAAAAAAAAAAGTCCGATAAGTGTGTGTCTTTTATCAGTTTGCTTTTACATAATTGACCTTTGTGAAATGTAAGAAGTTATTTCCACTTTGGCTCTTCTGTTTTATGCATTATTTTTTAAAACAAAATTTTTACTGTATCTCATATGTTATTTTGTAAACCTAACAGTCAAAGCATTTTTATGGAATACGTATTTTTTTAAATAAATTATTTTTAAGGGATCGCTGAGAAAAAGGTGACAAAGAAATGTCCTGGTCAGCTGAATGTGTTATTTATCTCTGCAGAAAGGATTTGAAGGTTTTTTATGGCTATTTAAGGGATATTTGTAGGAATAAATTGTAAGACCTCCCTCTTCATCACAGCAATCTTACGTTCAGATCTCTGTGGGGAGCTTTCTCTTCCCTTTCTTATTAATCGATGTTCAGCTGAGTCAGAAGTCATGTTATATCATAGAAGTTTCTGAAGCCATTTGTTGTTTTAACGGACGTTAGGAAAAAACCTTTTCTCTTGATTTACTTCTTGAATGTCAGTCATCTTCTCTATTTGCACTTTTTTGTTCTTACCTTTCTGATAAATGTGTTTGGTAGACGAGATACTGTTGAGGTTTTTGTTGCTAAAATAGATTTTATTACTTCATCCGTGGAACGATGTATATTCACTGGACTGTTTCATTTTCTTGGCGGTATACAGGCATTTGCAGGGACTCTCGCAACCTGTGGAGGGATTCCAGAGAGCTGTAGTTACTGAACGATAACAGAATTTGTAGTAAGAGAAGAGGAGGTTATCTCTTGCTGCTGTCTCTGTAGACTTTTTGACTTGAACGCTCCTAAGTGATAGGAGTGTTTTGATACGAAGTACTCTTCAGACAGCAGTTTTTTCTGAAGGGGCTCGTTAAGCTTCTTTGTTTATTTGTAGCTTCTAGGAAATCTGCTACCTGCTTCTGTTCGTAGTTTTGTGGCCTCTCCTGGTGGATTTTATCAAGTTAGACTTGCTATAGGATGATACCACTATAAATAGAACTGAAATCTAGGTTAAAGATTTTTCCAGCTTTAATACACTTCTGTATGTTTTTAGTAACTTTGAAGTACTAACTGTCATGTAGAACAGTGGCTCAAAGAGCACTGGATCTGCAGTATGTATTAGTCACGTATCACTAAAAGTGGCCCACGCTGTGAGCTCATCTAAGGATTCTGCTTGCTATAAGTTTGACAGGTAGTTCTGACTTTTTGATTTCACAGTTTCTGCAAAATACTACTCTGCCCTGGGCAGCTCTATCCTGGGGACTGTGAGTACACACTGAGGGCAAAGTGCAGGGTATAGTGACATCTCTTGCTGGACTCCTGACAAATGTGTTCAGTTCTTTTAGCTATTGAATTGTACATTAGAAAGATTCCCCCTTCCTAAGCTAAATTTTCCTTAAAGAATGCATTCTTGTACATTTTTTGTTATGAAACCAGCATTCTGCTGATCTTTTGTGATATTTGATAGACATTTTCATGCATGATAAGGTGTACTCAGTATTTCGAGGGTGTCAGGCCATTTGTTGGTGTAGCCAAATGACATGTCATTGTTTTGCAAAAAGTGCATATTTTGAAAGGTCATCTTCCTAACCGTAAGGTCTAGGAGTTACTATGTCTGTGTTGAATATTTAGTACAAATCCCTTGCTCTGAAAATACTGTTTAAGCTCTCAGGCTGACCTTGTAATTGCCAGGTTGATTTTTTTTTTTTTTTTTTGTTAAGCCCTATTCCAAACAGCGTTCTGTAGCATAAGCTGTTCTTCGTGATTTTTGTATCAGTAAGCTTCCTGAAATAAATTAAAGCCTTGAATTCACTCCAAGGCTACTTGTTACAGCTAATAAGTTGTATGTCCTTGGAGAAGGAAAGGGGGGAAATTTTAACCCAAAAATATATCCAGTCCTTTTTGAACTGGTAAAAGCATCTTGACATCCTTTTTATAAATTACTGTGCTCAGCATATGTGCATAGAATTTTCTTAATGTTAGCATTTATGTGGTAATCTGGTTATTCTAGTTTCTTACTAATTTTGACATATTTTATATGTTTAACATTAGGTAAGCATTAAAATATTTTCCTCACGCCAGTGTTCTTCTAATGTGAATGCCTTATGTTATAGGAAAGAATATACTGCATTTGTTAAAAAACATCCATTGTTGTTTTATTTTTTTCCCCCTATGGTTTTGCTATAACTCAATCTGTAATATAAGAACCAAGAATGAGATAATGAAAGGGAACAAACATTTGTGTTGTAAGGGTAAGGATTACACATTATGTGTGGCCATATTAAAAATCATCCTCTATTTAAAGGAGTTTTATTGATAACTGTGTTCTTACACAACTCTGACTTTTTATGTGTCAATTATTATTTTTGCCCGTCTCTTAACAGAGTACAGTGACAGCAGTTAGGTAATGAAAGTGTGTCTGGTATCACACTGTCTTCTACGTATGCTGTCCCTGTCCATGCTGTTTTGCACCAGCTTAAAATACTTGCTTGTGAATCTTTTTGCACAGCTTTATGATCAAGCAGAAAGAATTGTGATAAATGAGCTCTGAAAAAACCTGTTCAAGATAGAAAATAATTACTTGAGCCTAAATTGCTGTTTCCTGTTTTCTTTTGGTCTTAAGGGAGTAGGCCTTGTTTAATATACAAGCGTTGGTAATGTCAGAACTCTTAGGAACTTGAACTTTTTTAGTTTCTGGTTTTGCATCATGTGCCGAGTACAAACCCAATTACTATTTAGTTCTAATAGTGGCACAACAAAGGACATGAAAAATGCTCTAAAGCAAGCAATAGCTGTTTTTAAGTTTCCCTGCACCAAATTCTGTGGTAAAACTTTTGAATTCTTTTCTTTTTTCAGGTTCCTTGCAGCCTTTCCTGGAAGCCTGCAGTAACGAATCCTTTTTCCGTACTTGTTCTGTATTACTTCGAACTCCTAAGCTAGATCTTCAGATTTTGGAAAAGCTCTGTGTTATACTGCAAAAGCTCTCCAGAATAAAGTAATCTTTTATTATCATCATTATTCACAAATCACAGAATTCTATTGGCTATTGTTAGGTCAGCAAACTTGGGGAGCTTTCTCTTTCTCCTTTTTCAAAAACTCATACCTATTTGCTGTTAATTCACGACACAACGGACGATGCTGGACTTTCTCTGTTACCAGTTAAGTTAAAAATGTTTATCATAGATACGTAAGACAGTTCTCTCAATTTGGTCATATATCCATCTAGTGCAGCTTCCAGAAAACATACACTGAAAAATGCTAATCTACAGAGCAAGTGTTCCTTGTGTATACAGATGACAAGAACGCTTAGAAAAGAACCCTTCTTTCCTTTCCCCCCCGAGCGTCTAGTTTTATTCAGGTATTCTGTAGAAAGTCCTCTCAGGTGTTTGATCTCTTATATGACTTAAGCTTAAGTCTCATCAATTTTTATTTCCTTCAAAAATAAAATATGGAGTTTTAAACTACTTAAGGCCTTCTGGAAATGTTAGTCTTTATAAAATATGTTCCTGCTGCTTACTGCTTATAATTTCATTGTAGTAAAGATCTTGTGCATATCAGTAGTAATGTGCTGCTGAGCACCATTGCTGCATTACTTGATGGGATTGTTTCATTTATCGAATTGGGTATCTAAACTGAGCCTTTTTTTTATGTTAGAATTGAAAATGATGGCAAAACCGAGATTTTCTTTTGACTTCCTTAGAAATAAAATCTGAACTCTAAAAGACTTGTTCTTCAGTAAAATAATGTAATTTTCATTTGAAATAATTTAGAAGCAAAACTTGTTTAGAAATCCCAATTATTTAAAGTTTTGTATTTATTAAAAGAAAACTTCACCGTCCTGTCAGCTGGTGAATCTTCATAGTTAGGCTTCTTTGAAATACTCTTGAATATAAATTCTTTCTCTTCTAAAATTTTTTGTTGTGTTTTACTACTGTATTTGCCTTAATATCATCCTGTATTTCCTATATCTTTCCTTAATCCTTATTCTTATTGGACATCAGTGAAACTTAGCGATAGCTCTTCCATGAGCTTTTGTTATGCTAAATTTAAATGCCACTTTCTCAAGTGAAAGAACAGTTCTCTAGTGATTTTTGCCAAGGTTTTTCTCACCATGCATTGATAACCTTCAGCTTAAGAGATGTTACCTGCAATCTAGAAGGATGGTATCAAACTCCCACTATAATGCGTATCTTTTTCTTCATAAAAAGTTCTAGAGCCTTCAGTGTTTGGTTGAAACCTCTCAGCTATCAAATGACAATTATTTTATGTAAAATCTTTTGCAGAAGTAATAAGAAGATGTTTGAATTGTTTACTCTTCACCTAATGATCCAGGAACTGCAGAGGACAACACATCCAGATCATGCCTTTCTCTGTATAAACCTCAATTCAATTCTGTTTAATTTGGGATTGGCAAGGACTAACTCTGTTGCCTCCAGTCTAAGCGCAAGTCACTAGCGTTATCTTTCAATCTAACTGTTTTTCTGTATAATTTGTACCAGCTCTTTGTGTTACTTGAAGAAGTATTTGGAGTTTTTCGTACTGTTTTCTATAAATAAATGCATTAAAACCTCAGTTTTGTATGAGTTACTGCGTATCATGTGCAGTCTCATTGATATCAGTGGATTCATACAAGGGAAAAATGAAAAACTGTGATGACATTCTTTAATACTCTTTTTTTAAAGAGTAATACAATGCAGTTTTTCTGAACAACTCATGTAAGTCATGAAATTTGATCACTTCGACTAAAGTTGCTTATCCTGAGTGAGCAGACCAGTAATACCAACCTTTCCTTATGATTATAGGTATTAGTTACCTTTTACTCTTGAGAGAGTTTTATCAATTCATTGATTTATTTTTATGGTTGATAAGTAACAGGCAGATATCTTCTCAAATTCTCTTTGAGATTTTTTTTTTTAGTGATTAAAATGAAGTTTTTGCTTTAACTGAACTTATGATTGAGTTGATGTGTGGAATGAGATTTTTTTTTTTTTTTCATTTTGATGTCAGAATTTCCTAGAGTCTTTTTGCTATTTTTCTGTATTTGTCGCATTTAGTGTTTTATCCTGCCTTACTTGGATGAATTTCTCTTGTAACTTTTGATTGTAATGTCTACAGAAATGTAAATAAAGTCTTTTCTTAAGTCTGGCAATAACAACCCCTGTTGTTATTATATTTTAATATTGCAGCTATATTTTATATTAATTTTCAAGACAATTTTCAGTCTCCTCACATGCTTATTTTCTGAGCACGAGGTGAATACGTTCTGTCTTGTGTGCCAGTAGTTCAGTGTTTGGAAGTTGTCCTACATAGAAGATAAGATACTTTTAAAACATTGAACTTAATCTTCCATTTCTAATTTCTGATTCATCATTTGTACTCTAACTCCTGCAAGTCTTTAATTGCAACATTGAAACTGCAATTAAAATGTAAAGATCTGCCATATGTTAGTCTTTGATTAGCACTGGCAATCAGTACAAAGCTTCAGACAGATTTGCTTTTCATTTCCATATGTCTTTTTTCATGTTTTTCCTTTGTATTTTTTAACAGAAGTTGTTGAATTGAGTCTTTGAAATGAAATTCTAAACGGGAATATTTTGCAGCAATCTGACTTTCATTTTTGACAAGCTTTTCTAAGAATGAACTCTGCACCAAATTTGGCACCAAGTATGTCCTGAAGACGGAGTCAGCGGTGTGCACCCTTTGGGTGGGAAAAGAATTCTAGGTAACGGTTAAATAATTTTACTGACAGTAGATTATGTTTGGGAATAAATGTCTTCATCAGTAGTTTCAGTTTTCTGTCAGATTTGCCAGCAGTGCAGAAGCTTGTATATTCCTTTGACTGAAGACAAAATCCTCTTATCTAGTAACTGTATTTCTAGTCCTCGTGTACTGCTCTGTCTTTGCTTACTCATTAAAAATACTAGAAAATGAGTAACCCAAAAAACCTGTATAAAGTTATTAGTCTTCCTACATCTACAACAATGGTAATTTTGCTCTTGGTTTTAAGCGTACTGTCACTGTGTGTGTTAAACTAGTTCTCTTCCTGTGGTACCAATTTACCACACTTAAATGTTTACATCTAATAACGGTGAAGAAAGATAATGTGGTAAAGAGACACATGAAGTATGGGCTAAGCTTTTACTATTGGTTTTGTGTTTTGTTCACAGTAGTAAGTGTCTACAATTAGAGAAGATGAATCACTATTAACTTGCAGGTTTTATGATCGTGAATGTTTACGTTAAAATGTAAAAAGAAAATCTTTGAACCTGTTGAATATTAATGTAACTGGTGCACTAAGGATGAAACTGATGTTTTTGATTTTAAATGGAATTTAACTGAGCTGCGCAGAGAAATACTGGTTCTTGATTTCACATTCATATTGCGGTAAACATATCAGAAGAAATAAATATATGAATTCTACAGATGAATATGAAATGTCTTAGGAAAAATAGACACTTCTATAAATTTAAAGGCTGTAGTAAAGTTCCAAAACGTGCATGTGACTTTTGGCTGAGAATAGTAATTCTTGGGTACACAGGCAGGGATTTTTTTTTTTTTTAAACATGAAAAATGAAAGTCACAAGTGTATTCTAGTAGAGTTATAGGGAGGCTAGATTTGTAATGTTAGATTTAAACTGTTTTTAAGGTAGATGTTGACAGACAGCTTATACTAGTTCCCAAGTATGTTATCATAAAACTTTTTGGTAAAGGTCTTTAAAGAATGTAAACCGTACTGTATTTTTCCCTAAATTTCTTTCTAATCAGTCCTGCTAATGCAGAGCTATTTGTGAAGCCTCCAAATATCATGGAAGGTAAAACAATGATTAATTTGGAATTGGTTTTATTTGCCTTCTGTTTTTTAGTCTGCGTTGGTTGGTATCTCTAGGCATGCTCTTGCTTATGGGACATGGACTATAAAAACAAATAAAAATTCTCTTAGACTAATATGATTCCAGGATGAAAGACTTAAGTAAAGTGTCAGCATACAAAAAAAAAAAGGAACTAAAATTATATTTTAAAATAATAAACTAAAATGGAAATACCAGATCTGTACTAGTTCCATTTTAATTGATAACCTACCAACTAATGGTGTCTAGGTTAGAAGCATAAATAACCTAGCTTGTCTTTGTTCTTAACAGGCAGGAGTAGGATAGACATTGTACCAATGGCACCATGGTATTTGTATTTGTGATTCTTAATACTTGCTGTATCAAACTGTGTACTCACCTGCTTGTTGCCCTGTCTTGAATACCAGTCTTATGGCCAGCCCAGACTGGTTCGCCTCACCAGTCCCTGTTGTGGCCTTGGTCAAACGTCCCCTTCCTGTCATTGTCATTCCCCTGAGTTGAGAGTGGTGACTTGACTGGCTCTGCTCCAGCTGTGAGAAGAAAGGTATGGAGAAGGGGAATAGTGGGAGGTGGCTCTCACTCCCTGCTGTCTTTTGTTTCTCTCTTACTTGGAACCAGTGGCCGTTATCCCTCTCTCCAGTAAAGTGCCAGGGCAGAACAATTGCATGTATGGACTCCATGGATCTGGAAGAGAAAGTGAGCAAGAGAGGATGTTGGACTGAGATTGTATCCCAAGTCTCAGGGAGGGGAGAATGAAGAGGAAAGTCTCCAGTGTTGGGTGAAGTCTCTGACAGCACATCCTTAGTTCCCCTAGTAAGATCAGCTCTGCTCCAGAGCAGTGGCAGAAGGAAAGGTTGGGAGATAGCTCTCAGTGGCAGTACTGGGTATGATCACGTTGGTAACGTATTGCTGTACCTATTTACCTAACTGTAGTTATAGAACTGAAGCCAGAGTAAGATGCTGTTAAAATCTAAATTGTGGATTGAATGTGTGGTCGGTTTTCTGTTTCTGTGATTCAATTTTCTGATACGTCTATCAATGGATCTGTCATTCCTGTACTGTAACTTTCAAATTGAAAAAAATGCTTAACACATTTTAACTCACTTCAAACCTCTCATCTAGGTGTAGTTTAAAAAGTTCCCCTCTCCCCCCCCCATAGATGGAAAACTGAGGAGCTGATCTCAGATGAAAAATAGATTTCTGTCAGGTTGGTCACACTTTGAGAATCCTTTTTATATAGCTTTGCCTTTCCAGATGAAACCTAGGGCTTTCTGGGTTTTTTCTGCTTTTGTAGCTGTTGGATGCTGTAATATGGGGTTGGGTTTCTGCTATTTTATCCTATCTCAGGACATTGTCTACAACAAAAGACATTTGCAGAAGGTGACCATAGCTTTAGCTACATGTTGTGGTTCCTGATTTCCTAAGGTTTTCCTAAGGCAACATGTGATCCCTCTCCGGTTCCCTCTCCCTCAAAACGGATATGCTGTTTTGAATATGTCGGTAGCAGGCAAAAGAATATTCATTTTCAACCAGTTTGGAGATAAATCGTGTGAGAATGCCCTCGCCTTATGAATGCCCTCACTTAAAAGAGAGACGGGACCTCTTACCCGTTCTGGGAGCAGCCAGGGTAATCAGAACATGTAGCCTTAAACTAGGTACAGTCTATGCTATGTCTTGCTTGTATGTGAGTCCCCAAAGACAGTTACTGCGATCATCAGCATGCAACTTGGAAAATTTCTGGCAGTGCCGATTTGTTGCTTTAAGGAAAGATACAGAACTGACACAAAATTTTATGTTGCTGCTTTTGGAACAGCTATGGGAGTCGTCCTTGGAAAAGTTCGTAAGAGCGTTGCATCTACTCATGTAAGAGTAGTTTTCCTCCCAGAAAAGACAGACTTGAAGAAAAAAAATATATATATCTATAGATAGTAGAATAAATGACATAATCTCCCCTTGCTCTTTCTGGAAGGTTTCCTATGGATAAGTGGAAAAAGTTTTTCTAGCCTGATCTACCAACTTATAATTTGGCAAATAAGAAAGATAGCTCCCTGGATGGGGAACAGTAACGTTTGCAGAAGCGTAGTGGATCAAAGTAAACTAAGTAGGCTAACAGTATCCATCTTACAGAATTGTACTGTGTTTCTTCATATTTCTAATTTTACCCCCTGATAAAAGGTCTGTTTTTTAAAGTGGTGTTTAATTCATAGTTATCTGTCAGTTCTCCTGAACATGACTGACTTGCGTTTTTTTTAATTTTATGAAGCTGAATTTAATAAATTATGGGCAAAAAAAGTCTTCTAACAGATAAATTAACCTGAAGGCTGAAAGTATGCTGAAGGCAACATTCTTTTTTGAAGAACTTTATTCACAGTGAACAGCAATGTCTTATAGATACAATTTACCAGATCAGATTTAAAAGCAGCTGTAAGCAGAGCACATAATTCAGCGGTATGACACTGGATCTTTTAATTATATACTGAATTTTTCACCTAAAACTTACCGAGCTTCAGGAACTGAGAGTCTGATAGAAAATATTTTTCTTAAGATAACATTTAAATTTAGTCTAGAAACTCTGAAAGTTTGATATAGGAAAAATTTTGGTAACGTTCCACTTCACAAATGGTTGGAGGATCTGCTGTGATAGAGCAGTGACCCATTGTGTTTCTAGTAATCATATAATGCTCACGTTTTCTTAGTACTTGCACAAGTTATTTTAAAATGAAGAGTTGCTAAAGAGTAGTGCTCTGTTCCTACCTTTGACATCCCTCTGAGCAGTGCTGTGAGTGCCTAAGACATCTGTGCGTTGTATACTGACTCTTGTAACGTGCCTTGTCCACATCGCTACTGTCTGTTGTTGAAAACAGATATTAAGGCATATTGGGCCGATGCGAGTCTTTACCCAAGGTCATCTGACCATGCTTAAGAGCATTTCTTATTGTTATACTTTTGTTTTTCACAGAGGGAATTTTGAAAGCAAGTGTCATACTTATGACTGCCTGTTCGCTAATAAAAGAGAACTTGTAACAGTAACTGGTTTTGTTCATTTACTTGCACTTTTTTCAGTGGATGATTCTGAATCAAAATTTAACTGTTAAGAGATGTTCTGATCCCCAGAGTCACACTAGGAATTGATGAACAGGGAACCAAGAAGCTATATATATATTCTTTTCAAAATACAATTCCTTCACTGTCTTGCCCATCAGTCAAGGATACTTAATTTGGTCCCAAGCAATACTTCTCTGAATATGCCCCATCTTGAGTAACTGCTACTTAATGGTTAAATAGCAGCTGTGGTAGATGCACACAAGCTAGGACTGTAAACTTGGTGGCTGGAGTACTAGTAATGGTAGCTGTGAATAATACAATGTTCCTACTAATACTCTTAACTGTTTCAGGTTATCTTCAGCGTAGTGAAATGGCATCCGCAGTGCTCTTAGTTGTAGAGAGAAGAAATAAAAATATTTGATCCTCCTTAATGGACAAAAAGTATTGTGTGGTACCAGATTTTCAGAAAAGAGCTTAATATTCCAGCCATCAGCTTTTCAGAAAAGTAAAATGCCTTGAAGATCAGAGGTAATTGGCATGTTGCCAAACTGTTTTGGTCTTGTCCTTCAGAAGAAATTGTACGCTAGTATGTGGATTCAAGAGTTGCTTATATAAGAAATGTGAATAAAGGCATTTTTACGTTCCATGGTCTTTCCCAAAATGTAGCACTTTGCCTGCATTCTGTTCAAGGAGTGATTCCATCCTTTTTTCACAGCAGCCTTGCATGCCGAGGCCAAATTTCAGAAATAGAAGCCTAACTCTTGTTACTGATATCTTTTCCTATTTCAGTTGTCTTTCTACTAATCAGTCTTTAGTGTTACCTCTTCCTGATTTCTTACTCATTTTTGAGTGGTGAATTAAATTGGAAAATCATTGTGTGTAATACTAACTTGAATCCTAATGTAGGCTTGTGTTTAGAGCAGCCTCTCTTACCAACTATAAAAAATGTTTTTGTTTTTGTTTTTTTTAAAGGTGATGATAAAATGAAATCCTTCCTGTGTATGACCTGTATAACAACTAATCACTGACATCATCTGCAGTAGAGCATGTAAAGGCTCCTTCCGTGGTAGAAGTAATTGGCAGGTCTAGTTTCACAGAACCCTGGTAAAAAAGAATTAACATTTTTATGTGCTTGAAGAGTGATTGATAATGATAAATTTTTAATACCTGAAGTAAAAAGTGCCATGCATCATAAATCATATCACAATAAATAATCAGGGTAACTTATTTGGATGTGGAGGAAAGAGAATATATATGCAATACTATGTATCTAGAATGAGATGTAGACTGAGACAGTGTATTCTTATCTTGTTTGCATTATTAATTTCCTGGAATATTCTCTAGGAAGTCTGTCCAACACATCATAAGGGTGTGAGCTCTCTTTTCTTCTCATTATCATGGGAGTATACAGGTTGCTTGACTTCTGCTTGGAGCGGTGGCTTGTGTTGTACCTCTGGGGCATGATTTCCACTTGCCTTTGGATTTTACCCACCTCCGTATATACACCTTCCTGATAAAAAGGGGGAACTTCTAACCCATGCGAGGCTTTGAGTTCTCTGAGG